ACTTCAAAGCAATTTTCTTTTTTCTTTAATTCTGTCTGGGAGAAGTTCGCAGTGAAGAAAACATGGAGATGTTATAACTAACACAAGAAAATAAGAAGGAATAAAGAGGAAAGGATAATGAGAGACAAAGAAGGAAACTGTAGAAAGTGGAAGAAAAGAAGGTGGAATGAGGAAGAGAGCAGAATAAATTCTTTCAGACCCTGAAACAGACAATTGTGCGAGTCACGTCACTGAAGAAGGAAATAAATATTTAATGATTGAGAAGAATAAATTTAAGAAAAAAAGACAAACGAATAAGGAAATAAAGGAATTAAAGAGAGGAAAAAGGCAAGGTGTAGAAGGAGGAAGAGAGAGAGGATAGAATAAAGATGTAAAGAACAAGAAAAATTATAAAGACTGGGAAGATATAAAGAAGAACAAAATCATAGAAATATTTTACAGAGATTGCATTTGAACGACGAACACTGTCCTGTAGAAACTAATTATATTGTCACGTGTATGAGTGACTACAGACGAGTTTTCGATTAATGTTCGTTTTTATTGAACACTCACTGAACCGTGATAATCTACAAGTCTCACTGAGTTACACATTCCTAAGTTCACTGTAACCTCAGCACATATAAAGCCTTCTCAGTCTTCAATAGCCGTTGCTCGGTAACCGCTTCCAATGGCGGATGTTTCCCTTCCTCTGGGTTCCCGAATTTTCCTCAACCTCAGCTAACAACTTCTCACAGCAACGCCTCAAAACAACTAAGCCCCAGCAGTCATCTGACTGACTTACTCACTCACCAACCAACTCACTCCACTCCACTGTTAGACTACAAAGCTTGTGACCATCTCATACCAACCTTCTACTGTTCTGACTACCGCTCCAAAATTGTTATGCTTTTAATATTTCGGCACGGACCGCGTAGAAAACACCGTTCCTCTCTTGCGTGCCATTGTTTCGTTTGTGTCTGTTGGAGGACCCCATTATTGTTATATCAAACTATTTCCAAGTTGAGCGAGCAAAAATTACCATTCCTCTGTTGTTTTCGGGCCGTTGCGTAGTAACAGCTACTGTACAGTCCCTTATCTTGTGGTCGCCGCCTAGCAACGGGGCTACATACGGCCAGTAACAAAAAACTAAGTGACTTTCCCCTTGATTTTCGAAAGATATAATATTACAATTTTATGAAATTTATGGTGAATTCTAAAACATAAAAAAATGGACTTATTCCTAAATGGCAGAATGCATTACCATTTTACAGCACAATGCAACTTTACTAAGAGATGTTTAGGAGTTCGAGCTACTGCATAAAAATGAAAGCAATAAAGACTTCTAAACAACAGGGAGCGCACTATGAAGAAGCAGGACAAGCAACAAGTATGCATAATTAAATAATTGTTATAACCTGGCTTACATCCGGTAAGAAATCATCTACGTTGTTCCATAACGAACTGAAAATTAACGCTAGGCTTGTACAGATTTGACCTACATTATCAATGCATGTAACTTTCATAGCGTTGGAATTCGATGTATGTTACGTAACCCATATCTCGTACGGAATGTCTCCCTTCTGCTTTTGTAGTCTGATTCATATTAAGTAGAGTATAAATTGTAGAGTTTCACAAATGTCACAAGAAGTGGAGATGCATGCACGTGTAATTAACTGCACTCATGCACGCGTCTTTCTATTACAGTTCACTGGTCCTTGACCATGGGTATTTGCCAACTGCTTCTAACATAGGAATAATTAAATACAGTCACTGGCGTATATAAATATGCAGGCTTTTTGCGTGGAATAGACTTTCAACGGTTCTCCGAGGAAGATAACTTAGAGTCACGATTTTATGGAGTGACTATAGACGGGGTTTAGATTGGTAATTGGATTAATTGAACATTTACATATAGTAACTACACATAACTATAGGGTTATCACTAATTCACACACTCTGTGGTTCACTACAGTATGCACTAAATCTTCTCAGTCTGCTGTATCTTCATCGGTTGTCGCCTGGTAAAGGCTTCCAACACCGTAGCTTCCTCATCTTCCGCGTTCACGTCCTGTAACCTACGACTGTCTCACAACTAACTCATTGCTCCAGCGACTGAATCCATCTCACACCAGCGCCCACTCTTCTCACTGCCGTCTCAAGACTCTTTCGTAATCGCAGCTCGCTATACAGCCACGGAACGGACAGCATAGAAAACACCTCTCCCAACAGCTCTTCTACTGTTGCATCACGTAGATATGGTACGGATCGAGTAGAGGGAACCACTTTCCAGTTTATCCATTGTTGCGTGTTACGAATCCGTTCCTTAGCAACGACTATCTCTGTTGGCTTTATAGCTTTGTATGGGAGGCTGTGAAGGGGAGACGTAGTCATTGCGGACAGAAAGTTGAGGGATATTCGCAGGACAGTAACGGCATAAACGCGAAAGACAAAAAATCTCTATTGTTAGAAGCTGTTGCCAGGGAATGGTTAGTGAAGGCACTGCAAGCTTAGTGGGCGCTGTGGTAATCTGTGAATTGTGGAGATTAATGGTGACGCTGTAATTACTTGTAGTTCCGAGTTGTGTGTACAAGTGGTCAATAAATCCAATCACCAATCCAAACCGTTTAACAGTCACACATATACACATGGTAATATTTTGAATATATATGCCGGCTCCTTACTTCAGCGTAGTGGGGGAGTTGAGGAACTTAACTCCCGGTACGCGCAGGCTCGAGAAGTTCCAGTTGGAAACCCACGTTTCAGCCTGGCTTTCCTGAAATTAATGAGAAAGCCCTACCACATTTTCCGTCACGAAAGCCAGTACAGTTTCATTGGACTCGGGCCTCCAACTTTACTAGTTATGAAGAGCACTAAACTGCATTTACTTTGGAAAAGAGGGCTCCTTATGGTCAGCCTGCTGATCGTTACGTCACTAGATTCGTTTTCAACACACAGCAGATCGCCGACCATCCAAACTGCCAATTAACCGAATCACAGTGACCAAGAAATGCGTCTGCTAAACAAATATCATGGCCGGTCACGGTAGCCCAGCGGTCTAAGGCATGCACTGTCTTCGCTCGCTCGGAAGCCGGGACCGTGGGTTCGAATTCCACTCAGGGCATGGATGTTTGTGTGTGTGCGTTTTTCTGTGTTTGTGTACAGGTAGAGGCCTTGCGACGAGCTGATCACCCGCCCAAATGTGTAAGATCGNCGCCCAAGGAATCCTACCGAATGTGTAAGATCTAGAAAAACCGAACTGACCGGAGAAGTTCATGGAGGTAGACCTAGGCCCATTGGGGCTGTAGTGCCAAGGAAAAAAAGCAAATACGTATCATTGCTGGACTTTCTCAAATGAAAGTATTTTATCTGTAACTACACTTATTAATTTTATTCATGTTTCATTTCTTCTAAAACCGGGATAGCTCAGTCGGTATAGCGACTGGCAATGGGCTGGACGACCGAAAGGTCTGAGTTCTAGTCCTGATAGGGCCAAGAATTTTCACTTTTCCATGTCGTCCAGACCGGCTCTGGTGCACATTCAGCCTTCTATTCGATGAGTACAGGGAACTCTTTCCTCGGGGATATAGTGGCCGAGACGTGAAGCTGACCAATCACATCTAATTAGTGCCGAGATCAAGAAAACGTGGGTCTATACATCCACTCCCCCATACGTCTTCATGGCGTAATGTTTAATTAATTAAGCACAAGGACAAGTTTGCTATTAATCACACTCTTTTTCATCTGTACCAAAAATTTTTAGTCTTCCTTATTATAATAGCACAGCACATTAAAATGGCATTTTTTCGTGGATAAGAATTTAACCCGATTATCCAACCACTTTTGCCACTAATTAATTCGAATAATCTGCTTTATACTGTACTTCCGGTGTTTATACACCGTTAGAAAATTCTCTTCCTTAATGTTGCCGACAAGCAGCACGACTTGCCCTGGTTCGTAGAGTAAATTGACTTCATCTCCTAGGGTGTGACGCCGTGTAGTCTGTTAGGAGTTTAGGGAGAATTTAGAGGAACTTTCTCCTTCCATCTTCACAGTCTAAGAATGAGGCAAGCAGGCAACCTGTAAAACGTTAGGCAGCAAGCAGAGCTTGAGGCTTACTCTTCGTCCCTGAAGATGGAGGCAGTACTTTCCTCCGTAAATGCAGTGAACTTCTACCAGAATACATGGAGTCACATCCCAGAATATGGTTCTCTTCGGTGATTCCAGCTGTAGTGAACGGGAACATGACTGAAGCATTTCCCCATGAGTAAACCTTTCTAACAAATACATCCCAACCGCATCTGAAAACGCATCAACATTTCAGTAAACAGACGAACAAGATACGTCGGAATCTCGAGGAATCGCCACATATCTGAAAATGGCTCTACTTTGAGCAATGAAAATTTTCCAGAGCTCAATACCTAACCATGTCGTTTTGCGTTAACTTCAGTATTTCAAACAGCGTCGTTAAATAACATATTTCATTGCGATTCGAACCAAGATATAACAGAATAACTGAATACGAAAACACACTTCAGAGTTTTGGAAATGCTTTCGTTTGAAATATGAGCAGTAAAGAATACTTCGTTTACGAAACTGCGACTGCGCCACCTTACGGAACCTTACTAACTAAAGAAGTTTCATTAAATAACCTAGGAAATATGTTAGTAACAAAGCTATCAAAATAATGCAGAATACAAACAAGCGTCAGGGATATAGTAAAAGTAAAAGAAAGCTATCCCTGTACCAGGCCGTGAAGGCCCATAGGGTTGTGAGACGTTGAGGGTCACACATTTTCTAGACTATCGGCTCAAAGATGGCGGTAAGTTTGTAAGACTTACGCGCCGGCCGCGCTTTATTCCCCAAGAAAAATTATTTAATTAATTCCTGGTACTCATTTATGTTAGAGGCTGAATCGACCACAGGGCCATAGTGCGGCTGGAAGGATAGGTCAACTGAAAAAATCCAGTGACCTCATAGGAACTTGAACCCGCGACCTCCAGGCTTGTAGCATAGCCCCTCAACCAACTACGCTACCACGTGCCCCATAAATGATTTTATTAGAAATTCGAGTAATGACTAGTTCTGCTTCAACAATCCATCGCACCATCAGCAGTAGATTCAATGTTTTTAAATAATTTTCTAAACTTCAGTAGAATATAAGATATACAGGAATACAGCAGAATCAAAATTGAGATCAGAGATTTGGCAACGATTTCATTTGATCTTGAAGCAGCATTCAATTGTTAAGTATTTGATGGCGTTGCTGCAACAGCTGGACAAGTCACGTGACCTGGAACATGCAGATGGCGACGGCACTGCTGCTGGTTCTTCTCAAGAAGAAGAAGATCCACCACCGGACAGCTGACGACCACCGGAAGTACATCATCCTCCTCCTTACACGGACGTCATATGTTGCATCTGCTTCCACTGCAGAAAACAATGCTGCTGTAGTTTTATTATAGTGGTGGTTTATTTTCGCAGAAAAAAGCTCTCCTTCGGTCTTTTAAAGCCCTGTGGTTCAGATATGTACCAGTTGTTTTAACGTACTAAATCTCTGTCCACGGAGTGTACTTGTGTGTTTTGTGTAGTTCTCACAATAAATTTCAGCTGTATATCTATACAACATTAAATGGATGTGCTTAGTAACGGAGATGTAATGTGTTCCCTGTGAGGTACGAACTGGATTCTTATATACTAGTATTTAGTAGAAATCCAGTCTTTAAATCCCGTGTGGAGGCGGGGTCGAATACCTCCACCGTAGCCCTGCGAGTCGTAGGAAGCGATGAAAAGCGAAGACTCGAACCTGAGACAGTAAAATATGGTCGTGATTCTCACGGAAACTGACCAGAGAATGACTGCGCTGATTAGGACCAGCAGCAATTATAAACGACAGACCCGTCCTCCTGTCAGAGAGAGCGCCCCACAACAACAAACCCGCAATTGTCTGACAGTAATAAAAATCTGTTCGTAAGCCCCAGATAGGTGCTTTATTCCAAGACNGACTTTCTTCATAGTCATCGCCGTGAAAACCTCAAAACTTACAAACCCGCAACTGTCTGACAGTAATAAAAATCTGTTCGTAAGCACCAGATTGGTGGTTTATTGNATATGGTCGTGATTCTCACGGAAACTGACCAGAGAATGACTGCGCTGATTAGGACCAGCAGCAATTATAAACGACAGACCCGTCGTCCTGTCAGAGAAAGCGCCCCACATCAACCAACCCGCAATTGAAGAAAGTCGACTTCTGGGATCTGGCGCCGTGTATTCTTTGTTTCAGCCGACGTTTCGGAGGAACGTATCACCTCCATCTTCTGGGCAGTTGAATTGCATCGCGAATACAGAGAACAGTAACTACTGCTCTCTGTATTCACAACGCAATTAAACTGCCCGGAAGATGGAGGCTATACGTTCCTCCGAAACGCCGGCTGAAACAAAGAATACACGGCGCCAGATCCCAGAAGACGACTTTCTTCATAGTCATCGCCGTGAAAACCTCAAAACTTACAAACCCGCAACTGTCTGACAGTAATAAAAATCTGTTCGTAAGCACCAGATTGGTGGTTTATTGCAAGACAGACTGGCCGACTGGCCGTCGGTCGTAACATAAGACTCAGACTGCAGCCTTCTCTTTGTTTATTGATTTCGGTTTCTTTAAGCGAATTTTGGTTTTACGCATAGAATGCACTAATTTTATTCAAAGTATCTTGGCTTAGCACAAAATTTCTTACTTGTTTTCTGAAGATGCTAGTTTCGAATCTCGGCCGGAACACCGACTACCCCGACTGACGACTTCCGTGTTTGTCCTCAGTTCCTCCAAGCCAATTCCGAGGTAGCAGACTACAACAGCTTTCTTCCACATTCTCTCCAATTCATTACGCACCAAACATCGTATCAATTAACTCTGCTTGATCTAAGCTACTATCAGCGTCGTTAAATAAGCGACAAACAAATCAATAAATTAAGTTACATCACTGTTGTAAGCAATACAGCAAAGAATATGTTTGGAAATTACATGCCATCTATGTGAATACACGTTTAATGAGCGTGCCGTGACGAGTATGAACCATAGCCACAGTTAACCCATATTACGACAATGAGATGTTAATTTCCTGGTAGGCATTTTCCGCCCCTTTAACAAAGACAGGATCAGATAAATGAAGTAGAGCAATTAACTTCCTTACTTTAATTAGCAGCCAGCTTTAATTACAAACCTGTTCTGAGATATACTTCATACAGGATAGCCCAGAGAAGAGATTTTCAATTTTGAAGAAATCGTCATGCAGAATATGGAGCCTATTAACCTTGTAAACACTGCCGTTCGTTACTTTATATACCACCTGTTTTAACACGAAAAGGATTTGCATCTTACCGACGGAGTGTGTATGTATATATATGTGTATAGGTTTTTGTGTGATTCGCAGAACAAACAGCGAGTATTTCTGTAACTGCGTAACTAATTTGTCTTTATAATGGAGACCCAGAATACTTATATTGAGATATGAATTTAATTTTTAAATACTATTTAAGGGAAATTCATGTTTGATGGAAGCCGGATGGTTATCATTTTTTTTAAGTTATCAATATGTTCTCTTTGAATAACGAATTTAAACGAATGTAAGAGTGACAGTAGAGGACGTTTAGAAATTCAGTATACTCATCCCAACAATTCTACCGTGAAAAATCCTTTTTATGGAGCTCTCTCCGCGTCTTCCCCATTTACACGGCTTCATCCTTGTACGCTCTCTTCCAGGTCTTTAGGGATGGCCGAAAGGGGGTTCCAGACTAGTGTCAACTTCTATATGGATCCAGTGAGTTTCCTTAGAGTATGATCAATACAGCGCCATTTCTCCTTTTTTTGCTAGATTATAATTGGTTGCAGTTTTGTAATTTTCCTTAAATCTTCATTTGATGTAGAATAATCGTTCAGATCATCAAGAAATACTTGCCATTTATGGAACATTAAGGTTCATTACCTTGTTCGCATAGCCCTCAATTACACCTTATCCTGAGCCAGATGAATCCAGTCCAGAACTTCACTTCCTACATCTTTAAAACCAGAATAGTAGTTACCAAAATTTAGTTCATAATCGTTTACCTTCTGTTATGCAATCAAAATAAAAATATTTCTGGAATAAATATCAGAAATCCTTTACAGTTCACAGGCTTCAGCGATCAGTACCAAGAATCTACCTAGGAATGTATATTTCTGCATTATGGGATTCTGCATCGCAACCGAATTTGTTTCCGAATCACAACTGTTCCTTTCGATCTATTTCAATGTCTCAGCTCCCCTAAGCAGTAAGGACTATCAACTGGACGTTTTACACGACTCTTGTGTTGTTAGAAAAATCGATGTTCCTCATCATGTGGCTCGCAACCAAAGGATGAGTTGTCTGTTTTTCTTTTGGAGGGGGGGGGGTTTAGACACTGAGACAGGAACATGAATAAGATGACACAATTTTCATGTCTTCCTTTGCAAAAGAAAAAATAAGCTGAAATTACGTTTTCTATGAGATTTGATGTTCTCGTGGCGGTGGCTATGAAAAGTTCTCTCCTCCAGAATGTGACTCCGTATAGTCTGGTAGACATTTACTGAAATGTCTATTAATCGTATTGCCTCCATCATCATGGTCGAAGAGTAAGCCAAGCAAGAGCAATACTCTGCTTAATGCTTCCGCGGCCTACATTTCGACCCTAAAGATGGAGACAGTATGATCATCAAGAACATCAGTAAATTTCTACCAGACTACATGGAGTCACACCCCGTAGGATAGTACTTCATTAACTTTCGTTGCTAACTGATCTGTGGCACACTAACCCGGTAAATAATTAACTAACTACATACATAAAGCGGCCTCCGTACTCGTAGTCTAGGGGTAACGTTTCCACCTCATGACTCAAGGTACGCGGGTTCAAACCCGGAGGAGGTCGTGGAATTTTTAAGGGCGGAAAAATTCAGGGAACAAGTCCTCCGGGAGGGACTTTAAGCCGTGGGTCCCGTGTCATAGCTTTACGGCACGTAAAAGAACCTCATGTCTCCAAAGGAGGCCACTGAGCTAAATTAAGGAAATTTCCCGCCCAACAGTAGTCTCTAACGCCTCTGGTAGATGGGGGAAGCATCGAGATATCTCTGAGCCAGTAGAGGCCGACATCGCTGGCTGAGTAGGGACTGATGGTAAGCACCAGTACCGGTAGGGTATAGAGGCAGGTAGAAGATCATAGGGGGACGCACAATAGATCAAACTGGTCGCGGTGCATGAGGAAACCCACCCCCTCCAACAACAACAACAACAACAACAACAACAACAACATACATACGTAACAAAATAATTATTAAGCAACAATGAGCAGAGACTTTCTTGAGAAACTAATTGTTCTTCACCTATTCAAGAAATTTTCCGGTATTACTGGAATCCGAAAGTTCACTGCCGTTTTTACAAGAACCTGCCACTGGTTCATATCTTGTGCCAGATTAAGCCAGCCCTCACTTCCCACTGCACTAACCTTACAAACGCCAAGCGTAAAAATTTACACTTTTACAAAAGTTGCTGTACGTGATACCATCTGCCGGAATTTTCGTGAAGTACGTAGTAAAGGAAATTTAAGAAGAATTTATTTCCCTTCCGTTTGAATTTCTCGAGAGTTTTTATGTAGGCGCATAAGAAACGAGGATGGCTATTTGGAGCTGCAGAATTTAAATATGCTTTGTGGCCTTTAGTCCACAAGCCAACTATACCGACCGAGCGACCGCCGCTTGCACGCGAAGTTAGTGCCAACTTTAGCGGATAGAGGTGTCGCGTGGTCAGAGCAACTATTTCCTACGGCCGTTAATCTCGGTTTTCTAGACCGGAGCAGAATGACACTCTATAATTGATTTGCGATTTACTATTACCTTCCCATCTATGTCTAGATCTTCCAAAAGTTGTCTTATGCTGAAGTTCAGTACGAATTCTTGTCGCATACACGTTGTACAGTACGAGAGAGGTCGGTGTGAGACGGAGGTACAAATCAAGCCAGGTGTAGCTGTGTCGGTCAAGTGCTGTGTGACGTCAGAACAGACGGCTGACATGTGTGAATTCCAAACTGGGACAATACAAAACACGCCGGCTCCGCCCGGGGACACTAGCGCGCTCTGCGGTCTCTCCAGGCATGTTTTCAGAGAAACACATACTCGTACCTTCCTTCGGAGCAGCGGGCTCTTGACGACACAAGTCACTGTCCCCCTCCCCCGTAACTAACCCTCCAACTCGTTGAGCTGTGTGTTCTTCTGGCATTTAAATTTATATAATTATCCATCGAGATAGGGCACGCGGTAGCGTAGTGGTTGAGGCACTATGCTACAAGCCAGAAGACCTCGGGTTCGATTCCCGATAACGTCACTGGATTTTTAAATTGACCTAACCCTTCCAGCCGCACTATGGCCC